CTCTGTCAAATAAATAAAATCTTAAAAAAAAAAAAAAAAAAAGGAAAACACCATGGGGGGGGGGGCGCCCATGGAGGTCAGACTTGAACCCAGGTCTGTCGAAGCTGAAATGGAGCCCACATCCCTCTCTTGTTTGGAGGGGTAGCTCCTGGTACCCTTAGCTCTGTAAGCGCAGACGTCTGGCCCTGGTCTCGGTGGTATTTGTGCCCTGTGTCTCATGCACATTCAGTGCTCAACAAATGGTTGTCAGCCAGTCATCTGTTCTCTTTCTTGAACGAACTCTTAGGTCTTCTAGTAATTTAAGAAGCAGAATATCTTCTAGCATTTTTCTCCCAAAGAGAAGTCCTAACCTGAAGTGTTTTTTTGTGGTGTCTTGGGCCAAAGGGGGTGGGGTGCTGGTGTGTGAGTCAGTGTGGCTCCGAGTTGGGTGTGGTTTGCATTGGCTCCTTCTAACCCGTCTCTCCTGGTTGTCCCTTCCCCCAGGGCTCCCTCTGTACATGAAGTCCCTGCGCTGGGCCCTGGCGGTCATGGCTGTGTTTCTGGCCGTGTCCGCAGTTGCCATCGTGGCTCTGGCTTCTAGAGCAGGTATGGTGCCTCCTCCCGGTCCCCTCTCCTCCTCTGTCCACCACCAGGGCATCTAGTCCTTACAGCAGCTTTGTGAGAATTAGAAGAAGACATCCCCACTGGACAGATGCCGCACAAAGACACTGGGCTTGTTGAGCAGAGAGAGGGACAAAGAGCTCCTGCCTCCCTCTGGACACAGCCTGGGCTCTAACAAGCAGGGGGTTGACAGCTCCCACCTGGGGGCGCTCTGTGCACTGCACAAACTCTACAGCCTTCCTGGGGCCCTGCCACCCTGCTTGCTGTCCCAAGGCTTGCCAGTTCCATGCTCCAGATTTGCCCCCTCACTCAAAACGGTGGCTAGATTTTGATTTTTTTTGTTTATTTATTCATTTTTTTTTTTTTTAGAGATTTTTATTTATTTGAGAGAGAGAAAACCAGAGAGACAACATAAGCAGGGGGAGAGGGAGAAACAGGCTTCCCACTGAGCAGGGAGCCCAAGGTGGGGCTCGATCCCAGGACCCTGGGATCATGACCTGAGCTGAAGGCAGATGCTTAACAGACTGAGCCCCCCAGGCGCCCTAGATTTTGATTTTTTTTTTTAACATGCATACATTCAGTTCTTTATAGTGGTCTCTGTGCTTGCAGGGATCAGGTGCCGGCCATGCCCCCAGGGCTGGATGTGGTCCGAGGAGCACTGCTACTACGTCTCTACCGAAGCTCAGGCCTGGGAGGCCAGCCAGGCGTTCTGCTCAGCTCACCAGGCTACCCTCCCACTGCTGAGCCACACACAGGTGAGAAGGAGGCGGTGGGCTGTGGAAAGATGTAGGTATCATTACAGATCACAGATTCCTAGTGAAGATCTAGTCCATCTCTACATTACAGAGAAAATCACCAAAGCCTGGGGAAATAATGTGACATGCAGGAGGACCAGACATCAGGGTTCCAAGGTCTTCAACTTACCCTTCATTCTGAGTGGAGGCGGAGCTGGGAAGAGGGGAGCAGGGATGCTCTGGCCAAGCAGTTAACTGTGAGCGTTCCTTTCCTCAGTGATTCCATAAGTATTTGTCAAGCACCTACACTGTGTTTGGCACTGGGGATTCTAGGATGACCCAGAAGACCCAGCCCCCACCTTTACACGGCCAACAGAGCAGTGAGTGTGGCAGACGTTAATCAAGAAACCACAGAAATAGGTGTTTAATCACTATATTGATCTGTCCTGTGGGGGGAAGGTGCACAGTGCTCAAGGTATATGTTGTCTTGGAATCTTGTCTCCATTGCTTCTTTCCTATGTGAGGTCCCTGTTTCCTTTATCTCAAGACTTTTTCTTGGTTTATAGCCTTTTCTTGGTGGAGTACACACGCTGTAAATTTCCTGGAAAAAAAAGTGCATGCCTGGTAAATTTCTTGAGACCTGTCGTGTCTGAAGATATTTTATTCTAACCTTATTTGACTGATAGCTTGGCTGGGTATAGAATTCTAGGGTGGAAATAGTTGTCCCCCAGAATTGTGCTGCTTTTGCTCCATTACCTTCCACTGTTCACTCTTACCATTTAATAAGTCTGATTTCTGATCCTTTTATGTGACTCCCCCACCCCTCCCCAAATTTCAGGGCCTTTATCTTTGTTCTCCCTCTGTCCTGAAATTGAACAGTCTTATCCCTTTGTCGGTGTTTTTCTTCATTTTTATTTCTGTTGCCTTATTTGTAATTTTGAGAACTCTTTTTTGGTTCTTCAAATGTCCTTTTTTTATGGTGTCCTGTTTGTTTCAAGGATGCCGTATCTTCTCTTATCTCATCATAAATATTTATTTGAGAGCGAGAGAGTGAGAGCATATGCACACAGAGGGAGAGGGAGAAGCAGACTCCCTGCTGAGCAGGGAGCCCGACGTGGGACTCAATGCCAGGACCTGTCCTGGGATCATGACCCGAGCCGAAGGCGTGCCCTTAACCCATGGAACCACCCAGGCGCCCCTCTCTTACCTCATTACAGATTGTAGTTATATCTAACTCTGTCTTTGAAATTTGTTCTGTTCCCTGTATCATGTCTGTTTTTTCTGCAAGTACCTTTTATTCTATGTACTGAGTTGTTGTGAGTTGGTTTTTTTTTTTTCTTTTCATGTTAGAAAATTTCCTAAAATGTCTGATGATCCTTAGCTGTCATAATTAAGAGTCAGGCACTAAAGAACAGATTGGAAGCTCTGTGTCAGGGTGGAGGTGAGGGGATGCATTGGGCTTTTTTAGAGGCAGGCTTTGCAATGGGGACATCAGGCTGGGGCTCAACTTTTCTTTTTTTTCTTTTTTTTTTTTTTTAAGTGAATGCTGGGATGTCAGCATTCCAGGAGCAGTGGGGAAAGGGAACCAAGGTTTCACTTGTAAGAACGTAGCACTTAATCCCTCCCCTTTTCTAGCGTAAGTACCTCCAACCCTCAGCCAGACCTGATGCTCTGGATACCCCGGTCCCCTGTGGTTTATTTCTCAAAGTTCTACTGGTGATCTGCTGTATTGGGAGGGGTGAGTGGATTTTGTGGGAAGGGGTAGGAGAGAGGCATTCACTGCTTCTTTTTAGGACTTTTAACCAGAACTTCTTCTCCAGGCCCCTCTTCCCGTACCTTGGCCTCCAGAAGGAACTGTTGCCTCTAATCATTGAGCATTTGGGGGCTTCTCAATTCCAACTGGCGTCTTTCTCAGCTTCCTCTCACTCAACCTTTTCCTTGAAAAACCACAGGGTTTTCTTGGGTCTGCTCAGCCAGTTACAGCTGTCCAGCTACCCAAGTTTTGTTGACATTTCTCATGTGCTATCATTTCCCGTTCTTATCTCTTATTTTCCCCTTCTGTTATCATTTCAGAAAATTCCTTTCTATTCCTTTTTTTTTTTTTAAGATTGTATTTATTTGACAGAGAGAAACACAGCAAGAGAGGGAACACAAGCAGGGGGAGTGGGAGAGGGAGAAGCAGGCTTCCCGCTGAGCAGGGAGCCTGATGCGGGGCTCGATCCCAGGACCCTGGGATCATGACCTGAGCCGAAGGCCAACTGAGCCACCCAGGCGCCCTCTAGTCCTATTTTATTAAGAGTTTTAAACCTGAATGAGTTTCACTTCATTGGATGCTTTTGTGTGTGTCTATTGAGATGATACCTTTTTGTTTACTCCCTGAATCTCTTTTTTGTGAATTACATTATTTGTTTTTGTTTTTGTTTTTTAATATTCTAGGCCTCTTGCAGTAGTTTACTTAGCCATGATTTTTTCTTCCCCAGGACTTCTGGATTTGACTTCTTAATATTTTACTTAAGGGCACCTGGGTGGCTCAGTCGTTGAGCGTTTGCCTTCGGCTCAGGTCGTGATCCCAGTGTCCCAGGATCGAGTCCCACATCGGGCTCCCTGCTCGACGGGAAGCCTGCTTCTCCCTCTCCCACTCCCCCTGCTTGTGTTCCTGCTCTCGTGCTCTCTCTCTCTCTCTCTCTCTCTGTCAAATAAATAAATTTTAAAAATCTTTAAAAAAAATATTTTACTTAAGATTTCTCATATGTGACCCTTTGTTTTCTTGAACTGTTCCTGCCCAGTCCTGACCCCAAAGCTATTCTGCACCGTACAACAGGGTCCCTGCCTTTCTCTTTCTCTCTGGTAGAGTTCCCTGGAGGTGGATATAAAACTGTGCTGGAGAAAATACTTTACAGTGGGTTATTTTATCACCAGGAATAACACTTGAAGTTTCAAAAAACATGGAGAAATGAAAAAGATACAATGTAGATGGGAAAACACCAAATCTGGGATCTCAGTATGGTAAAAAGATAGATGCAAAGAAAAAACACAGAAAGGAAATATGTATGCTTATTCTAATCATGGTTACCACTAGGGACAAGGTTACGAGTGATTTTTTTTTCTTCTTCTTCCTTAAAGTTTTAATTTTTTTTTTTAATTTTCTTAATGTTCTGCTAATAATGTGTGCTGTGTATAACTGGGAGGAAATGCCAGGGGAAGAAGATCAGTATATAAAGGTTTTGCCAGGGGCCTGGGCCAGGCCTGGAGTTCTTACATTTGTCAGATAAGAATAGGCTGTGCTGAGGAACCTTCCCTTGTGGAATCTGCAAAATGAAGAACAGTGGGAACGGGAACAGAGGTGGGTCCCTTGACAGCGGTGGAGCTGGGGGAGGGGGCCAAGCCTGCCAGGGACCCACCGAGCCCAGCATGTGTCCTCAGAAAGCCTGCCTCTGCCCTGCAACCTCTGGGTACACAGGTTCAGTTCAGCATGACCCCAGCCCTCTGAGCAAAAACCTCCCTGTGGCTGGTGTGTCCTCCAAGGGGGAGATGGGCTTACACCATCCAAACTGCAAGCTTGGGATAAAGAATTCTTGTAGAACTAAGCATACAGGATCAATTATTTGAAACATAAGTAAGTACAGAAAAGCCTGGGTAAGCAACTTGCAAAAGAACCGAGAATTTGGGTCCCAGGCAGTTAAATTCTGGACCATGATGGCTGGGGAGCTCTGGCATCCTGAGCTCTGGACGAGGGCCAGAAGCTCCAGGAGGCACTGGGGTGGGGGGCGGGGGGCGGGGGGGGGCAGTGATGTACAGCTGGAGACAGGCTGGCAGAGGCAGTGGGCAAAGGCCAGGCTCCAGGAGCTGGGACGCACACACCCAGGGACATACCTGTGGTGCCAGTGGTACACAGAGCCCTCGGAGAAGCAAGTCTCATCCTCCCCAAAAGCTGGGTTTGCTCATGGTTAGAGAAAAGGGAGAAAGTTTAAGCGCTGTCTGCGCCCTTGGTTTCAGCACAGCTGTGTTTCCTAGGGTGCAGGGAGCACCAAGGACACACAGGGACTGTCAGCCACACAGGCTGACTGCAGAAAGGTGGAAAAAACACGAAGAAAGACCCATCCTGGGGTTAAGACAATTAACTAATCGGAGCATTTGAATACGAAAGTGGAAATGTAGGAAGGCAGAGAGCAGAGCGAGGCTGGTGGGGGGGGCGGGTGTGTGTGTGAATGCGCACCAGGTCTCCCCCGAGGGAGATAGGGGCCGAATGGTGGCACAGCAGTGTGAGTGACCGCAATGCCACCAACCTGGACGCTTGAAAATGGTGAAAACGCTAAATTCCGTGATACGTGATACGATGTTACCACTTTTAAAAAAGAAATGCTTGAGGGCAGAGCAGGTAATTTACCTCCGTTTTAAGATGCCAAATGTGGGAGTTCAAGTACATTCCGCTCGGGCTACCGTCCCCACGCGGCCTGACATTGGTGGCGACGTTGGAGGAGCACCTGCGGGAGGCCGTGGAGCCCCCGGGACGGCAGCGGTGGCACGACAGCACAGTCCTTTGAACCATAGATGATTTGCGAGTTTCTGGAATTTTTGTCTCTGGATGATGCTAGCGGTGAGAACAAGTGAACAGAGTCAGAGCTGCGAGGAAGGAAGGGTGGAAAGGAGAGGGCGGGCAGGGACAGGCCGCGCCGCTGTCATGGGAGGCCCGGAGGTGGAAGCGAGGGACAGCCGGCTGGCCTGGGGCCAGGACTGAGGGCAGGGGCCCCTCGGCAGTGCTGGGAACATCAGATGAGGTCCCCTGTGTTGGGGGCCGTGTTTGCACACCACCCGGCCGAGCGTGGACTCTGTGCCCTTGGCTTTGTACAGATCCTCTCGGGCCTCCGTACGGATGGGCCCCCCCCGTTTCAGGGGCCCATACTGAAGCTCTGAAAGGTTGGGTACTTGCCTAAGGCCCCACACACCCAAAATTTGACTAGGGGGTGTCCCGGCCCTGGGAGAAGCCCCACGCCCCGGTGTGCCTTCCCTAACCAGCTGCCGCCCGCTCCCAGGAAGGGGGTGCCGGCCGCAGGAGCCCCCCCTGCTGCAGCCAGTGCCCAGCGCGGCTCTGCCCTCTGACTCACCTGCCAGCCGCCGCCTCGCCACAGCTCCCTGCCCAGCCCTGCTGGCAGGCCCCGGCCGACGTGCGGTCATGTGTGTGCCTTCCCTGTCCTCGCCGCGGTCACCGTCCCAGGTAGGAAAGCGACAGGCCGTGCACCAAGCTCCAGAGTCCGGCTCCGGCGGCCCGGGGGCGGGAGCTCACCTTGGAGGCGGTGGGCACGCGGCGTCCCTACAGGACGTGGCTTTTACACTGAGACCCAGAGGACCACTAGGAATGGCACCAAGGGGACGGTCATTACGCTCGTGCTTACTTTCTCGTTCTTTCTTTCTCGTGCTAACCCTGGTTACGTATTAACCAGGGTTAAATACGGAGCTTCTGGCTTCCTCAACTTAAGTTTTCTAGGGAAGAGCTGGGCATACATTAAACTCACATAGGACAGTCTCCTAATTTTCCCTCATGAATAGAGGCTTCTGGATGTTGTGAGCAACGTGTACTTCCTGGTCTGCTTTTCTTCACTCAGTGTGATTTCATAGTGACATTTTCCACGTACTTGGCATCTTGAACAGCATTGTAATTTTCCATCATGTTAATGTCCCGTAATGTGCCCAGTTATTTCCTGATTGCTGAGCATTTGGGTGGTTTCCATTTTTTCTTTCTAAGTAACACAGTGTTACCTTTGGGTTAGTTCATTTTCTCCCCTTCATGTTCTTGGATTTATTCTCCAAAGTGGAATCACTCATCAGAGTGGTAGGAAGGATGTGACTGTTCATGTGACGTGGCGGCAAGTTAGGTTCTGGAACTGCGCTGGCTTCGCGGCCTCACGCCCCAGACTTACAACATTAAAGCATCTTTTCCCAAGCTAACCATTTCTAAATACCATTTTTCCTTTAGTTAGTTGCTAAAAACAAGATGACGCCAAGGACAAATATGTAAGAGAAAGGTCATCGCTAACAGTTCTCTAACGTACTGTGGTTCTTGTCGTTCCTTGTACGTCTGCATTCTTGTGCCAACACGGTTTGTCTTTACTATAAATCGTGCCACAACTCGAAGTCAGCGTTTATACTCACGGTAACCCCTGATGTCCTATAACTTGCCTCTCATGGCTCCACGGTCTTTGTACTTGTCTTTCTTAAAAACGTTCTTAATAACGTTGTGCTGAGCGGATGTGACGTAACTGAGAAGCGCACTGCTGGCCCTCTGCTCCCAGCCACATGGGCCCTGGCCCTCGCCTCTTTGCTACCTGGATGTGCTTTGTCCCCTCAGTACCCATCTTGCACTGCCCGGTGGGGACCGGCGTTAACATGCTCTCTCCCCTTGAGGCCGAGATGGGACCCCCCCCATTTCTGGTCCCCAGTGTCTGCCGACCAGCAAGCATCCAATACAGCTTTCCAATTCCTGGTGTTTGGGGAGAGATGGGTTGAGCTGGGTCCGTTTGGTGAGCTGTGAGCTGGGAACTTGTTGGGGATACGGTGGGGAGGGGGGCACAGAAGCCCCAGGGGAGCCTTACTAGTGTTGGAAGAAGGGTGACCAGCTGCTTTTCTCCTTCAGGACTTCCTGAGCAGATACCCAGTCACCAAGTACTCCTGGGTGGGGGCCCGGCGAGGCCCCCAGGGCTGGCACTGGATCGACGGGGCCCCACTATCACCCCCGCTGTGAGTGACCATGGGCCTGGGTGGGTGGCCTCTCTGTCCCCAGTATGACCAGAATGACATCACAGTAGACGCCAAAGAAGGGTTGGGGCCTTCCCCTCTGCTGGCACCTCCCCCACTGCTGATCTGGATCCACCGTGTCTGTCTGTCCCCAGATTCAGCCCCCTGTCCCACCACCAGCCTCGGGTACCTCTTGGGGGACACCCTACCCTCCTTGCCCCACCTGGCTTGGAGCCTTAGTGTCATTTAGTCCCGGTCACCCCATCCCTTGTTTGGGTCTCCAGAGCATTCACCCAAGCAGGATCATCACCCTGTTCTGTAGATAAGGGGTGCTGCACAGAGGGCTTTGGGTGGTTCTCCGGAGCTATGGGGCATCCTCGTGACTCCCACCCCAGGGCCCTTTCCGGACTCCCCGGCCCTGTGCAGTGATCAAGCCATACCCATCGGCAGCAGGCACACAGGCCGGCAGGGGCCGTCATCCTGAGCTCTGTCCCCTCTTCTCACCCTCCCCAGACTCCCAGAGGAAGAGGAGGACCAGCCGGATCTCAAGTGTGGGGGCCTGGAGGGAGGCAAGCTGGTAGCTTTGGACTGTGCCTCTCCAAGACCATGGGTCTGCGCCAGGGGGACCAAGTGACTTGGGTTCCCCCCGTCCTGAGACTTGGGGGCATGCAGCCCCCCCCCAGGGGAAGCCAGGTTGCTGGCTGGGGCAGCCTCTTCCCTGGACCCAGACTTCCGGGTCTCCCTGCTCTGTGCTCAAGGGGCCCTTTCTGAGCCAACCAGGGACTGGACTTCCGGCTCAGGCAGGTGACGTCCAAGGGCGAGGAGGCTTTCTGTGGCCCTTCCAACTTCTGAAGCAGTTCCCTTGGAATGGTTTCTCTAGCATTTTTGAGCCTAGGTTTCTCCCTCATTAAAATGGCCATTTCCCATCCTCTCTGTTACCTGCTTAATCATACCTGCACACCCCCTCAGTCTTGGAGGACCCGAGGCCTTAGCGATCCCAGTGCTGCCCGGCGGTTCTCACCTGAGCGCAGGGCCCGAGCCTCCGCTGGGATGCCACCTCCAGGCGGCTGGGCGCGCGGCCGACACCGCTGACCAACAGCGTCTGGAGGACAGCAAGTGAGGAGTGGTCGCCCCCGGAGGAGGCAAGAGGAGGGTTTCCTTCCGGGCCCCGAGCTGGCAGAGGGTAAGGTTCGCGGTGTGCGGCGCTGGCGGGGCTTCTGAGCAGCTGATGGCCGAGGTGGCAAGATGCAGAGGACGGGACCCCCGAGCCCCCCCGGCCCGGGGAAGGAGAACCGGGGAACTGAAAGGCGTGGGGTCCGAGTGAGGAAGGAAATCAGAATTGTGGGGAGATTCGAGGCAGCTCTTCCGCCGGCAAGTGTGGGGACACCAGCCTGAAGATATCTGTGTTGGGGTTCAGGGAGGGGCCTTCAGGCCAGAGGGAGTGGCCGCAGGGAGGGCTGGAGGACTGGTTTAGTCCCTGCAGCCTGTCCAGACCTCTCTCCCAATGACTGGAGACAGTACCTGCATCTTATCTTGGTGCCGGACCCTCGACACAATTGTCCTGGGCCAACCGACCTGCCTCTTTTGGGGCAGGCCATGCATTCAGCTTCCCCTCAAGCAGAAACCTTTACTGGTCCATTCACACCAACAGTTGGTACAGAATGCACGGGCTGGCTGGCAGAAAGGGTGGGGTCCTAAAAGTGCACTTGACAAGCAATAAAAATCTTAGAAACACTCTGGTGTTTCTCATGGCTTTCCTACTCCAACTACAGTTTAACTCCAGAGCTTGGTAACAGGTTCCATTCACACCTCAGAGCCCTACTCAGCAAGGTCCTGAGCCTGGCTCTCTGGCTGCTCCCAGCTCAAGGCCAGGGGCCACAGGTGGGGGACACCCGGGGCACAGGTGGCCAGAGTGGGGCAACTGGTGCCACAGCCTGGAAGACCTAAAGTTTTTAAGCTTCACCTGGTAAGGGGAAGGAGAGTGAACTTTGGATCTACTTGTCCTAAGAAGCTACTAGTTCTTGTCCAAAATAGGCAGACTAAGAAATAGCAGTGTAAGCATATTGTTTAGAAATTTGGAGGGGTGCCTTGGTGGCTCAGTAGCTGAGCATCTGACTCTTGGTTTTGGCTCAGGTCATGATCTCCGGCTCGTGAGATCGAGCCCCGCCTCAGGCTCTGCGCTCATTGTGGAGATTCTCTCTCCCTCTTCCTCTGCCCCTCCCCTCCCCCCTCAAATAAATAAATAAAATCTTAAAAAAAAAAAAAAAAAAGAAATATGGAAAAAGTACTAGAAGAAATGGCAAAAATAAAGTGGTTGCCTTCAAACTAACTGATGGTGACAAGTGAGAATGGTGGTTATGTGGGGAAATACGAACTGAGAAGGGTCCCCAGTGGACCTTCTACGGTGCGGGAAGTGGTCTGGGTCTGGATTTGAACAGAGCCAGGTGGACACATACATAAACATTCATCAAGCTGTACACTTAAAAAACTTCAGTGTCCCCAGCAGGAATAAGATTACAGAAGGACCGATGTTCTTTGTTTTTTAAATATGCATACTTTAGTATTACTAAAGCCATATTCATGGGGTTTTTTTGCTTAAGAGCCCGTATTTTTGTACTACTATGATTAAAATAGGAATTAGACTTTTTAAAAAGGTCCACAAGATTCTGACGCACAGCCCAGCTTGAGAATTGCTGGCTTACGAAGTGAGTCCTGTGGCCACCCCTGCTTACAGCCTGTCATCAGTTCCTTCGCTGAGAGGCCTTCTCACAGGTTCCAGCCTGGCCGTCAAAGTGCATCTTTCCCTTTCTGCAAAACAGGCTGGGGAGCTTATGCAGCAGCTTGGTCTGCATGGAATTCTTCCTGAGATACTGCTCTAGTCTCTCTTCCGACCAGGCACCACCAGCTGCTGGTGTGTGAGAGCCGTATGTCGTCATGGCCCTGCCAGCACTGGCTGGGGTCACGGAGCTGTGGGGACCGGCCACTGGCACAGGCAGGTCCAGCAGCCTCTGGGGTCCATTCAGATGGCCGTTCAGTGGTGGAAGAGCCGCCAGTGTCCGGCCTATTCGACGACTCCTCCACCCCGTCCTGAGATTCTGATTCAGTGGGTCAGATTTTTACCAGCTTTCCTGGTGATGCTGAAGCAGATAATCCAGAAACCACATTTTGAGAAACCCTGTCTAAAAGAGTCCATGGGGTGGGGGGAGGGGGGATGTAAACAGATTTTAATCAACTTTATTGAGATACAGTTTGACCAAAAGAAAATGTACCTATCTCGGGAGTACTTTGCAACAAACATAGCTGCCTTTGTCACCACTGCCAAATGAGATACAGAATATGTCCCACAGGCCCCAGAAAGTTCCCTCATGTCCCTTTGCAGCCATTCCTCCTTGACCCCCAGTCCCAGGTGAATCTGTGTTCTGTCTCTACAGGTAAGTTGAACTTGTTCTAGTATTTCATAGAAAAAAGGCATACAGTATGAACTTTTGCTTTCTAAGGCTTGCTCGCATTGCTGCACGGGTCCGTAGCTGTTTGCTCTGCAGGGGTGGACCCCACTTTCTCTCTGCTCAGGTTGGTGATCTTACAGTCGCTCCCAGGTTTTGGCTGTTATGAATATAGCTGCTCTGAACATTCGCACACAAGTCTTTGGAGGTAGGTTTTCCTTTCTCTTGGTACCCAAGAGGAGGATTACTGGGTTGTATGGTAAGGATGTGTGTGTAAGAAACTGCCAGATTGTTTCCCAAAGTAGCTGAACCATTTTATAATCCCTGCACCAGCACACTCTGAGTTCTCGCCATTCCCCATCTTCATCAGCCCCGATGTTGCCAGTCTTCTTTGCTGTGGCCATTCTCGTGGGTGTGAAGTGCTAGCTCAGTGTGGTTTGTTTGCATTTGTTTTCATCCAGTGTCATCGACACACACGTGACATTAGTTTCAGAGCACTACAGTGATACCACGAGTCTGTAATTACATTGGCCTTTTCTGGATGCCTGATGTTGAGGTTCTTTTCATGTGCTCATTGGCCATTCCTCTGTTTTCTTTTGTGATTCTCATACTGATGGTGAGAGACCATGTTTGGAAAAACGCTGCCTGAAGGATAGAGCATCTTTATTATTTTTTAAAGATTTTATTTATTTATTTGAGAGAGAGCGTGCATGAGCAGGGGGAGGGGCAGGAGAAGCAGACTCCCAGCTGAGCAGGGAGCCCGACGTGGGGTTCAATCCCAGGACCCCGGGATCATGACCTGAGCCAAAGGCAGACACCCAACCGAGCCACCCAGGCGCATTTCCCCAACAGAGCGTTTTTAAAGTGATGATTTATATGGAAAATCTAAAGATCTCCCTCAACTTTGTGAAAATTTTCAAAATGGGAGTGTTGAAAAAGATAGGATGAACTCCTATATGCCCTCTACCTAGATCTAACAAAGTAACATTTTGCTACATTTACACTGTGTGTGTGTGTGTGTGTGTGTGTGTGTGTGTGTGTGTGTGTATAAATTTGCTGAACCATTTGAAAATAAGTTGTAGACTTCAAGACTTCACCCCTGTATGCTTCGGCATGCATCTCCTAAAAATAGTTGTCTTTTTCTATGTAATTGTAATTCCACCATTATTACACTTAAGCAAATTAACATTAAGTTTGCATTCAATCCATGTTCCAATATTCCTGATTGTTCCACTAATGTATTTTATTTTTTTAAAGATTTATTTATTTGACAGAGAGAAAGAACAAGTAGGCAGAGAGGCAGGCAGAGGGAGAGGGAGAAGCAGGCTCCCCGCCGAGCAGGGAGCCCGATGCGGGGCTCGATCCCAGGACCCCGGGATCATGACCTGAGCCGAAGGCAGACGCTTAACGGCTGAGCCACCCAGGCGCCCTCCACTAATGTATTTTAAACAAAGATCCAGTCAGGGTCTCAGCACTGTTATTGGTCCCTTTAATCTCTTTAAACCTAGAACTTGTTTTCTGAAACACTTGAGTTTTTGAACAGACAAGGCCAGTTGTCTTGTAGAGTGACAAATATTCTGGATTTCTCTCGTTTCCTGTAAGCTGCGGGAGTTAGACTTAGATTCACTATAAACATTTTCGACACAGGAATATGTTGTGACACTGGGTACTTCTTAATTTATCACTCGATAGATTTTTAACACTGATTTCAAGCAATTTGTACCAAAATTTTCTCAAAAAATTCAGGGGACTATATTCATGTATCCCAACCTGGATACATATGGGCTTGTCATTGGTTACTCTCAGCTTTAGAGGCAGTATCAAAGTAAAACGAGACTATGAGAAGGGTTTTAGAAAGGGTACAGTCCTATGCCTAGTGCTGTATATGATTCCACCTTTGTTTGCTGGGCCTTTTCTGCTCCCTCCTGGAGCGTTTGGGAGGCACCTGACCCACCTAACCAATCCTGCCAACCTTGTGGTTCCAGACTCCTGGCCAGTGTTGGGTTCCAGAGCCCAGGCCTAAGCCAGTCAGAGATGTCCTTGCTCTGCTCACTTTAGTTCCCAGATGGGAACACAGCCCAGTCTGGGTCACTGAGATGGGAGGAAAAAGTCTGCCCAAGGCTTCTGGGAAAAGATGCCTTGCTCTTTGAGACCCAAAATGGAATGGTTTCTCTTCATCTGGATATAAGGCTTAGGTGCTAACCTACGTATGGAGTTGTCACATGAAACTCAATCACAGGGACCAGTAGAGACCACCGTTTAAGCCCATTTGAGTTACAGGCAGTCAATAGTATCCAGCTACAGAAGCACACTGATTGGGGACCTTGAGAGCCGCTCTTCCAAAGCAGTACTGGAGGAGATTCTGGTGCTGCTGCCAGCTTTTGGCTTCTCCTATGTGGCTCTCCTTGACGGAGAGCCCAGTTCTGTGAGGCTGGGTGCCTTGCTCTCACAGCCTAAGCCCTGCTATGCTAGCCTTGAGTTTGGT